AGTTCTCAGATTTCGCAGAAGCTGCTGCTGCATGCGGCGCTGTCCCGGTGTCTTTTGTGTGGCAGTGGCGGCACCGGAGGGAAGGGCGAGGCCCTGCAGCAGCAGCAGCAGCAGCAGCAGCAGAAAGAGCAGTACAAGCAAGAGGGGGAGCAGCAGCAGCAGGGCCAGACGCGCAGAGCACTTGGCAGCAGGCCCTGGCTTCGGTGGGGGAGTGGAGGCAGGGAGCAGCAGCAGCAGCAGCAGCAGCAGCACCACAGCACCAAACCACAGGGGACAGAGCTGTCCCGCTCACTCTGCTTGCGGCCCTGCTGCTGTGGGACAGGCAGAGACGGGAGCAGCAGCAGCAGCAGCAGCAGAAGCAGCAGCAGCAGCAGCAGCAAAGTGCTGCTTGCAACCCCGTCAGCTTCTACGGGGCGTAACCGAGGTGTACGTACACCGCAATTTTTTGGTGCCACAGTGTCATGCATGCATTTTAGTTATTTATTTCTATTAAGAAATAAAAACTTTATTTTTGAATATAAATAAATCCTCAAATGATTTAACACTGGTTTTATTTAATTCAGGAATTGTCGGATTCAGGTTCGTCCCGTAAGGCGAGCTGTATGTACACTGCTTTGCGCCTTTTCCACTTTTTGAATTCTCGAAAAAAAAAGAAAAAAACATAAATAAATGTGAATCAAAAGAGAAGGCAATCGGGAGAAAAAGATATGAATTGGACTTCAAAGAGAAGGCAGGAACACTTGGAAGAAGAGGCTTTATTTGTTTTGCTGCTTTTCCCTTAAAGGTTGCAGCAAATTAGGAATTGCTTTAGCTGCTGCTGCTGCTGCTGCTGCTCTTGCTGCTGCTAGAGGCGCCGGTGTTGCAGGGGCCGCCAGGAGAGGCGGTGGGGCCTCTGTGGCAGAATGGAGAGTGCAGAAATTAAAAGGAATGGTTTATTAATTAAAAAGAAATAAATAAATTCATGTGGGTCTTGAAGATCCGCTAAAAAGGGGGAAAGTAGACACTGCAGACTGCTAGACCGTTTCGCGGACCACCCCGAGTCAGTTGTTGGCTGCAGTTGGTCACGACTGTTCTTTTCGTCGGCTCTATTTGAATAATTTTTGAATTTCAGGATTAGTAATGCATTATTTTTTTCTATTTTTCGTTTTGATCTTCAGTTTGAGGGTAAACGGGTGAGTTGGCGACGGCGGCGTGGTCGCTTCTGGAGAGCCCCAGAGGGTCGCGGGTCTTTCTTTGTTCGTTTCAAAAGGAATCGGAAAGGCAGAAGAATAAAAGTAGTGGATCACTGAAGTTGAAGTTGAAGATCTGCGTTTAATCGGGGTGTACGTACACCGTAGCTTCGCTGACGGACAAGGCCGTGCGCCTTTCTGCTTTCTCTGCACTGGTCTGATCGCGAGTGAAACAGATCTAAACTTCTTCCCTCAAGCTCTTTTTATTTGTGCCTGCATTATATTTTGCTTTTTAATTCTTTTCCGCTTGCATGCGCGTTTATACCTTCCCGATTTGTTCCGCAGCGAAGCCCGAATAGCCTGAAGATTCACCGAGACACCACCCGACAGAAGCAGCAGCAGAGAGGAAAGCGAACAAATGGCTGCTTGGCTTCACAGCAGCAGCACAATCAGCTAGCTGTTGCTAGCAGCAGTTTCTCAAACTAAGTTCAAACAACAGCATCTAGGGAGAAGTTCCTCAACATGGCGAGCTGCTGCTCTTGCCCACAGCTGGGCAGCTCTTTAGGCGGCTGGCTGAAGCTGGCTGTTGCTGCAGGTGGTATACTTGTTGCCTGCTGCGGTTCTGCCCTTGGGGGCCCCCCTGGGGCCCCCCTTGGTGCCCCCGTTGGGGGGCCCCCCTACGTGCAGGGTTCAGACACAGGGCTCCGCCTGGCGGCCGTAGCAGCAGAGAGGCGGAGCAGCAGCAGCAGCAGCAGCAGACTTGGAGCAGCAGACTCGCTGGTGGCTGTGGCGGGCCGGAGTCGAAGAAAAGAAGTTGAAGAGGAAATTGAAAAGCCTTTTGAACTCGCGAGGGGCCACAACAGGCAGCAGCCCGAGGGCTTTTCTGTTGGACTTTCTGGAAACAAAAGAACAGCAGTGGGGCTCTTTTTGGTTCTCTGCGGGCTCGTTTTGACAGGTAACAAACAATAGTGCCATTTATATCCCAGAAATTAGATTTCCAAGTTAAATTTGATTCAAGTTTTAATTAATTTCTTTTCACTTGAAAAAAAAGATTCAAAAGGTCAAGTTTTGCAGTTTTACTCCGCTGCGTGTTTCTGCATGAATAGTTGAATTTCAGGTTGGACTTGAATTCATCTTTCTGCATTTTCGTCCCTTTTCTGGACTGTAAAGTCTAATTAAATAGATAATATTATTTATTTTAAAACTGAAGATTAATTTCTCTTGGTTTCTGTAGAAAGGATCAGAGTCCGAGCTGCCGAGTTGAATTTCAGTTTCAAGTTGAATTCTTCTGTTCGTGTTTTTGGAACGAAAGTGGTTATTTTTCGAGATCTAATTTATTTTAATTTAATGTAATTAAACAACAAGTTAATAATTCGTGGAAAGTAATTCAATTTGATTTAATTTAATGTAATGTTTCCACAAGGGTGAGGTGCATTGCTGAGTTCGGGTTGGTTAGAGCATCAAAGTTGAATTCAAGTTT